GTAAAAAAAAAGAGAAGAATGAGAATGAAGAATGAGAAGAAGGGAGTGTGAATGCCTGAAGTATAAGAAAAGAGAAGAATGAGAATGAAGAATTAGAAGTGGGGAGGTGAATGCCAGAAGTAAATAAAAGAGAAGAATGAGAATGAAGAATTAGAAGAGGGAGTGTGAATGCCTGAAGTAAAAAAAAGAGAAGAATGAGAATGAAGAATTAGAAGGGGGAGTGTGAATGCCTGAAGTAAAAAAAGAGAAGAATGAGAATGAAGATTTAGAAGGGGGGAGTGTGAATGCCTGAAGTAAAAAAAAGAGAAGAATGAGAAGGAAGAATTAGAAGGAGGGAGTGTGAATGCCTGAAGTAAAATAAAGAGAAGAATGAGAATGAAGAATTAGAAGGAGGGAGTGTGAATGCCAGAAATAAAAAAAAGAGAAGAATGAGAATGAAGAAGACCAAGGGGGGAGTGGAATGTAAAGCAAAAAAAGAGAAGAATGAGAAAGAAGAAATTAGAAGGGGGAGTGTGAATGCCTGAAGTAAAATAAAGAGAAGAATGAGAAGGAAGAATTAGAAGGGGGAGTGTAATGCCAAGCAAGTAAAAAGAGAAGAATGAGAATGAAGAATTAGAAGGAGGGGAGTGGAATGCCAGAATAAAAAAAAAAGAAGAAATGAGAATGAAGAATTAAAAGGAGGTGTGTGAATGCCTGAAGTAAAATAAAGAGAAGAATGAAGAAGAATTAGAAGGGGGAGTGTGAATGCCTGAAGTAAAAAAAGAGAAGAATGAGAATGAAGATAAAAGGGGGGAGTGAATGCCTGAAGTAAAAAAAAAGAGAAGAATGAGAAGGAAGAATTAGAAGGGGGAGTGTAATGCCTGAAGTAAAAAAAGAGAAGAATGAGAATGAAGAATGAGAAGAAGGGAGAATGAATGCTGAAGTAAAAAAAGAAGAATGAGAATGAAGAATTAGAAGGGGGTAGGTGAATGCCAGAAGAAAAAAAAAGAGAAAGAATGAGAATGAAGAATTAGAAGAGGGAGGTGAATGCATGAAGTAAAAAAAAAGAGAAGAATGAGAATGAAGATTTAGAAGGGGGAGTGTGAATGCCTGAAGTAAAATAAAGAGAAGAATGAGAATGAAGAATTAGAAGGGGGGAGTGTGAATGCCAGAAGTAAAATAAAGAGAAGAATGAGAAGGAAGAATTAGAAGGAGGATGAATTAAAAAAAAAAGAAAGAATGAAGATTTAGAAGGAAGGAGTGTGAATGCCAGAAGTAAAAAAAAGAGAAGAATGAGAATGAAGAATTAGAAGGGGGAGTGAATGCCAAAGTAAAAAAAAGAGAAGAATGAGAATGAAGAATTAGAAGGAGAAGGTGGAATAGAAGTAAAAAAAAAAAAGAAGAATGAAATGAAGATTTAGAAGGAGGGATTGTGAATGCCAGAAGTAAAAAAAAGAAGAATGAGAATGAAGAATTAGAAGGATTGTGGAAAGAGAAGGAGAAGAATGAGAAGGAAGAATTAGAAGGGGGGTGTGAATGCCTTGAAGTAAAAAAGAGAAGAATGAGAATGAAGATTTAGGGGGAGAGTGAATGCTTGAAGTAAAAAAAGAGAAGAATGAGAAGGAAGAATTAGAAGGGGAGTGAATGCCTAGAAGTAAAAAAAAAGAGAAGAAGAGAAGGAAGAATTAGAAGGGTGGAGGTGAATGCCTGAAGTAAAAAAAGAGAGAAGAATGAAGAAATTAGAAGAAGGGGAGTGTGAATGCCAAAAGTAAAAAAAAAAGAGAAGAATGAGAATGAAGAATTAGAAGGGGGGAGGAATGCCAGAAGTAAAAAAAAAAGAGAAGAATGAGAAAGAAGAATTAGAAGGGGGAGTGAATGCCTGAAGTAAAAAAAGAGAAGAATGAGAATGAAGAATTAGAAGGGGGAGGGTGAATGCCAGAAGTAAAAAAAAGAGAAGAATGAGAATGAAGAATGAGAAGAAGGGAGTGTGAATGCCTGAAGTAAAAAAAGAGAAGAATGAGAATGAAGAAGAAGGGGGAGTGAGAATGCTGAAGTAAAAAAAAGAGAAGAATGAGAATGAAGAATTAGAAGGGGGGGGAGTGTGAAATGCTTGAATTTAAGAAAAAAAAAAGAGAAGAATGAGAAAGAAGAATTAGAAGGGGGGAGTGAATGCCTGAAGTAAAAAAAAGAGAAGAATGAAATGAAGAATTAAAAGGGGGAGTGTGGAATGAAATGAAGTAAAGAAAGAGAAGAATGAGAAGAATGAAGAATTAGAAGGGGGGAGGTGAATGCCAGAAGTAAAAAAAAGAGAAGAATGAGAAGGAAGAATTAGAAGGAGGGAGTGTGAATGTTTGAAATAAAAAAAAAGAGAAGAATGAGAATGAAGATTTAGAAGGGGGAGTGTGAATGCCTGAAGTAAAAAAAGAGAAGAATGAGAATGAAGAATTAGAAGGGGGGAGGAATGCCTGAAGTAAAAAAAAAAAGAGAAGAATGAGAATGAAGAATTAGAAGGGGGGAGTGTGAATGCCTGAAGTAAAAAAAAAGAGAAGAATGAGAATGAAGAATTAGAAGGAGGGAGTGTGAATGCCAGAAGTAAAAAAAAAGAGAAGAATGAGAATGAAGAAGAAGGGGGAAAATGCTCAAGAAAAAAAGAGAAGAATGAAGGAAGAATTAGAAGAGGGAGGTGAATGCCAGAAGTAAAAAAAAAGAGAAGAATGAGAATGAAGAATTAGAAGGGGAGGGAAAAAAAGAAGTAAAAAAAAAAGAAGAATGAGAATGAAGAATTAGAAAGAGGGAGTGTGAATGCCAGAAGAAAAAAGAGAAGAATGAGAAGGAAGAATTAGAAGGGGGGGGAGTGTGAATGCCTGGAAGTAAAAAAAAGAGAAGAATGAGAAGGAAGAATTAGAAGGGGGGAGTGTAAATGCCTGAAGTAAAAAAAAGAGAAGAATGAGAATGAAGATTTAGAAGGGGGGAGTGTGAATGCCTGAAGTAAAAAAAAGAGAAGAATGAAGAATTAAAAGTGGGTAGTGTGAATGCCAAAAGTAAAAAAAAGAGAAGAATTAGAATGAAGAATGAAAGGAGGGAGGAATGCCAAAAAAAAAAAGAGAAGAATGAGAATGAAGAATTAGAAGGGGGAGGAGAAATGCCAGAAGTAAAAAAAAAAGAGAAGAATGAAGAATGAAGAATGAGAAGGGGGGAGTGAATGCCTGAAGTAAAAAAAAAGAGAAGAATGAGAATGAAGAATTAGAAGGGGGAGTGTGAATGCCTGAAGTAAAAAAAGAGAAGAATGAGAATGAAGAAGAAAAGGGAGTGAGGAATGCTAGAAGTAAAAAAGAGAAGAATGAGAATGAAGAATTAGAAGGGGGGAGTGTGAATGCCAGAAGTAAAAAAAAGAGAAGAATGAGAATGAAGAATTAGAAGGGGGGGAGGAATGCCTGAAGCAAAAAAAGAGAAGAAATGAATTTAGAAGGGGGAGTGTGAATGCCAGAAGTAAAAAAAGAGAAGAATGAGAATGAAGAATGAGAAGGAGGGAGTGTGAAAGCTGAAAAAAAAAAAGAGAAGAATGAAATGAAGAATTAGAAGAAGGGAGTTTGAATGCCTGAAGTAAAAAAAAAAGAGAAGAAGAATGAAATGAGAAGGAGGGAGTGTGAATGCCAGAAGTAAAAAAAAAGAGAAGAATGAGAATGAAGAATTAGAAGGGGGAGTGTGAATGCCTGAAGTAAAAAAAAGAGAAGAATGAGAATGAAGATTTAGAAGGGGGAGTGTGAATGCCTGAAGTAAAATAAAGAGAAGAATGAGAAGGAAGAATTAGAAGGGGGGTGAGCCTGAAGTAAAAAAAGAGAAGAAAATGAGAATGAAGAATTAGAAGGGGGAAAAAAAAAAAGAAGAATGAGAATGAAGAATTAGAAGGAGGGAATGTGAATGCCTGAAGTAAAAAAAAGAGAAGAATGAAGATTTAGAAGGGGGGAGTGTGAATGCCAGAAATAAAAAAAAAAGAGAAGAATGAGAATGAAGAATTAGAAGGGGGAGTGTGAATGCCAGAAGAAAAAAAAAGATAAGAATTAGAAAGAAGAATTAGAAGGAGGGAGTGTGAATGCCAGAAGAAAAAAAGAGAAGAATGAGAATTAAGTATTAAAAGGAGGGAGTGTGAATGCCAGAAGTAAAAAAAAGAGAAGAATGAGAATGAAGAATTAGAAGGGGGGAGTGTGAATGCCTGAAGTAAAAAAAAGAGAAGAATGAGAAAGAAGAATTAGAAGCGGGGAGTGTGAATGCCTGAAGTAAAAAAAAGAGAAAAATGAGAATGAAGATTTAGAAGGGGGGAGTGTGAATGCCAGAAGTAAAAAAAAGAGAAGAATGAGAATGAAGAATTAGAAGGGGGGAGTGTGAATGCCTGAAGTAAAAAAAAGAGAAGAATGAGAAATGAAGATTTAGGGGAGGTTGAATGCCAGAAGTAAAAAAAGAGAAGAATGAGAATGAAGAATTAGAAGGGGGGAAAGAAATGCCTGAAAAAAAAAGAGAAGAATGAGAATGAAGAATTAGAAGGGGGAGGGAATGCCTGAAAAAAAAGAGAGAAGAATGAGAATGAAGATTAGAAGGGGGAGTGTGAATGCCAGAAAAAAAAAAAAGAAGAATGAGAAAAAAGAATTAGAAGGAGGAGTTTGAATGCAAGTAAAAAAAAAGAGAAAAAGAAGAAGAAGTATGAGAAGTGAAAAAAGAATTAGAAGGAGGGAGGGAATGAATGCCTGAAGTAAAAAAAAGAGAAGAATGAGAATGAAGATTTAGAAGGGGGGGAATGCCTGAAGTAAAAAAAAAAAAAAGAAAAGATTGAGAGAAAGAAGAAAAAAAGAGAAGAATTAGAAGGGAATTGTGAATGCCTGAAGTAAAAAAAAGAGAAGAATGAGAATGAAGAATTAGAAGGAGGGAGGGAATGCCAGAAGTAAAAAAAGAGAAGAATGAGAATGAAGAATTAGAAGGAGGAGTGTGAATGCCTGAAGTAAAAAAAGAGAAGAATGAAAGAAGAATTAGAAGGGAGGGAGTTTGAATGCTAAAGTAAAAAAAGAGAAGAATGAGAATGAAGAATTAGGTTGGGGAGGTGAAATGCCTGAAGTAAAAAAAGAGAAGAATGAGAATGAAGAATTAGAAGGGGGAGGAATGTGAATGAATGAGAATGAAAAAAAAAAAAAGGAAAGAGAAGAATGAGAAGGAAGAATTAGAAGGAGGGAGTGTGAATGCCTGAAGTAAAATAAAGAGAAGAATGAGAATGAAGAATTAGAAGGAGGGAGTGTGAATGCCTGAAGTAAAAAAAGAGAAGAATGAGAAAGAAGAATTAGAAGGAGGGAGTGTGAATGCCTGAAGTAAAAAAAAGAGAAGAATGAGAAAGAAGAATTAGAAGAATGGAGGGAGAAAAAAAAGAGAAGAATGAAAATGAAAAAAAAGAGGAGAATGCCCAGAAGTAAAAAAAAAGAGAAGAATGAAGGGAAGTGAAATGCCTGAAGTAAAAAAAAAAGAGAAGAATGAGAATGAAGAATTAGAAGAGGGAGTGAATGCCAGAAGTAAAAAAAAAGAGAAGAATGAGAATGAAGAATTAGAAGAGGGAGTGTGAATGCATGAAGAAAAAAAGAAAGAATGAGAATGAAGAATTAGAAGGGGGAGTGTGAATGCCTAAGCAAAAAAAAAAAGAAGAAGAATGAAGAGAAGAAGGGGAGGAATGCCTGAAGTAAAAAAAAAAAGAGAAGAATGAGAATGAAGAATTAGAAGGAGGGAGTGTGAATGCCTGAAGTAAAAAAAGAGAAGAAATGAAGAATTAGAAGGAGGAGTGAATGCCAGAAGTAAAAAAAAAAGAGAAGAATGAAGAATGAAGTATTAGAAGGAGGGAGGTGGAATGCCTGAAGTAAAAAAAAAAAAAGAGAAGAATGAAGGAGAAGGGGAGGGTGAAGAAAAAAAAAGAGAAGAATGAGAATGAAGAATTAGAAGGGGGAGTGAATTAAAAAAAAAGAGAAGAATGAGAATGAAGAATTAGAAGGAGTGGAAATGAATGCCAGAAGAAAAAAAAGAGAAGAATGAAGATTTAGAAGGGAGAGGTGAATGCCAGAAGTAAAAAAAGAGAAGAATGAGAATGAAGTATTAAAAGGAGGGAGCAGAATGCCAGAAGTAAAAAAAAAGAAGAATGAGAATGAAGAATTAGAAGGGGGGAGTGTGAATGCCTGAAGCAAAAAAAAAGAAGAATGAAAGATTTAGAAGGGGGGTGTTTGAATGCCAGAAGAAAAAAAAAGAGAAGAATGAGAATGAAGATTTAGAAGGAGGGAGTGAAATGCCTGAAGTAAAAAAAAAGAGAAGAATGAGAATGAAGAATGAGAAGGAGGGAGTGAATGCCTGAAAAAAAAAAAGAGAAGAATGAGAATGAAGAATTAGAAGGAGGGAGTGAAATGCCTGAAGTAAAAAAAAAAGAGAAGAATGAGAATGAAGAATTAGAAGGGGGAGTGTGAATGCCTGAAGTAAAAAAAAGAGAAGAATGAGAAGGAAGAATTAGAAGGGGGGAGTGTGAATGCCTGAAGTAAAAAAAAGAGAAGAATGAGAAGGAAGATTTAGAAGGGGGGAGTGTGAATGCCTGAAGTAAAAAAAAAAGAATGAAGAATGAAGAATTAGAAGGGGAGGTGAATGCCAGAAGAAAAAAAAGAAGAATGAGAATGAAGAAATTAGAAGGAGGGGGGTGAATGCCGAAGTAAAAAAAAAAGAGAAGAATGAGAATGAAGATTTAGAAGGGGGAGTGTGAATGCCTGAAGTAAAAAAAAGAGAAGAATGAAGATTTAGAAGGGGGAGTGTGAATGCCAGAAGAAAAAAAAAGAGAAGAATGAGAATGAAGTATTAGAAGGAGGGAGTGTGAATGCCTGAAGTAAAAAAAAGAGAAGAATGAGAATGAATGGGAAATGCCTGAAGAAAAAAAAGAAGAATGAGATTTAGAAGGAGGGGAGGTGAATGCCAGAAGTAAAAAAAAGAGAAGAATGAGAATGAAGAATTAGAAGGAGGAGTGTGAATGCTTTAAAAAAAAAAAAAGAGAAGAATGAGAATGAAGAATTAGAAGGGAGAAGGAGTGTGAATGCCTGAAGTAAAAAAAAAAAGAGAAGAATGAGAATGAAGAATTAGAAGGAGGAGGAATGCCTGAAGTAAAAAAAAGAAAGAATGAGAATGAAGAATTAGAAGAGGGGAGGTGAATGCCAAAAAAAAGAGAAGAATGAGAATGAAGAAATAGAAGGAGGAGTGTGAATGCCTGAAGTAAAAAAAAAGAGAATGAGAATGAAGATTTAGAAGGGGGAGTGTGAATGCCTGAAGTAAAAAAAAAAAGAAGAATGAGAATGAAGATTTAGAAGGGGGGGAGGTGAATGCCTGAAGTAAAAAAAAAAAGAGAAGAATGAGAATGAAGAATTAGAAGGGGAGTGTGAATGCCAAGAAAAAAGAGAAGAATGAAAAAGATTTAGAAGGGGAGTGTGAATGCGAGAAGTAAAAAAAAAGAGAAGAATGAGAATGAAGAATTAGAAGGGGGAGGAATGCCTGAAGTAAAAAAAAGAGAAGAATGAGAATGAAGATTTAGAAGGGGGGAGAGTGAATGCCAGAAGCAAAAAAAAAAGAGAAGAATGAAATGAAGAATTAGAAGAAGGGAGTGAATGCCTGAAGTAAAAAAAAAAAAGAGAAAAAATGAGAATGAAGAATTAGAAGGGGGGAGGTGAATACTTGAAGTAAAAAAAAAAAGAAGAATGAGAATGAAGAATTAGAAGGAGGGAGTGTGAATGCCAGAAGTAAAAAAAAGAGAAGAATGAGAATGAAGAATGAGAAGAAGGGAGTTTGAATGCCAGAAGTAAAAAAAAAGAGAAGAATGAGAATGAAGAATTAGAAGTGGGGAGGTGAATGCCAGAAGTAAATAAAAGAGAAGAATGAGAATGAAGAATTAGAAGAGGGGAGTGTGAATGCCTGAAGTAAAAAAAAGAGAAGAATGAGAATGAAGATTTAGAAGGGGGGAGTGTGAATGCCTGAAGTAAAAAAAAAGAGAAGAATGAGAATGAAGAATTAGAAGAAGGGAATGCTGAATGCCTGAAAAAAAAAAAGAGAAGAATTAGAAAGAAGAATTAGAAGGAGGAGTGTGAATGCCTGAAGTAAAAAAAAGAGAAGAATGAAATGAAGATTTAGAAGGGGAGGAGTGAATGCCAGAAGTAAAAAAAAAGAAGAATGAAATGAAGAGAAGGGGAAGGAATGAGTGAATGCCTGAAGTAAAAAAGAAGAATGAGAATGAAGATTTAGAAGGGGGGAGGTGAATGCCAGAAGAAAAAAAAAAAAAGAGAAGAATGAGAATGAAGATTTAGAAGGGGGGAGTGTGAATGCCTGAAGTAAAAAAAAAGAGAAGAATGAGAATGAAGATTTAGAAGGGGGGAGTGTGAATGCCAGAAGAAAAAAAAAGAGAAGAATTAGAAAGAAGAATTAGAAGGAGGGAGTGTGAATGCCTGAAGTAAAAAAAAGAGAAGAATGAAGATTTAGAAGGGGGGAATGCTGAAATGCCAGAGAAGAAAAAAAGAAGAAGAATGGAGAATGAAGAATGCCTGAAGGAAAAAAAAGAGAAGAATGAAGATTTAAAAAAAAAGAAAAAAAAAAAAAGAAAGACTGAAATGAAGAATTAAAAAAGGAGGGAGTGTGAATGCCTGAAGTAAAAAAAAAAGAGAAGAATGAGAATGAAGAATTAGAAGGAGGGAGTGTGAATGCCTGAATTAAAAAAAAAAGAGAAGAATGAAGAATGAATGCCAGAAAAAAAAGGAATGAGAATGAAGAATTAGAAGGAGGAGTGTGAATGCCTGAAGTAAAAAAAAAAAAGAGAAGAATGAGAATGAAGAATTAGAAGGGGGGGAGTGTGAATGCCTGAATTAAAAAAAAAAAAAGAATGAGAATGAAGAATTAGAAGGGGGAGTTGAATGCCTAAGTAAAAAAAAGAGAAGAATGAAATTAAGATTAGAAGGGGGAGTGTGAATGCCTGAAGTAAAAAAAAAGAGAAGAATGAGAATGAAGAATTAGAAGGAGGGAGTGTGAATGCCTGAAGTAAAAAAAAGAGAAGAATGAGAATGAAGAATTAGAAGGAGGGAGTGTGAATGCCTGAAGTAAAAAAAAGAGAAGAATGAGAATGAAGATTTAGAAGGGGAGTGTGAATGCCTGAAGTAAAATAAAGAGAAGAATGAGAATGAAGAATTAGAAGGAGGGAGTGTGAATGCGTGAAGTAAAAAAAAAAAAGAGAAGAATGAGAATGAAGAATTAGAAGGGGGAGTGTGAATGCCTGAAGTAAAAAAAAGAGAAGAATGAGAATGAAGAATTAGAAGGGGGGAGTGTGAATGCCAGAAGTAAAAAAAAGAGAAGAATGAGAATGAAGATTTAGAAGGGGGAGTGTGAATGCCTGAAGTAAAAAAAAAGAGAAGAATGAGAATGAAGAATTAGAAGGGGGAGTGTGAATGCCTGAAGTAAAAAAGAGAAGAATGAGAATGAAGAATTAGAAGGGGGAGTGTGAATGCCTGAAGAAAAAAAAAAGAAGAATGAGAATGAAGAATTAGAAGGGGGAGTGAATGCCTGAAGTAAAAAAAAAAGAGAAGAATGAGAAGGAAGAATTAGAAGGGGGAGTGGAATGCCTGAAGTAAAAAAAAAGAGAAGAATGAAAGATTTAGAAGAATGAAGATTTAGAAGGGGGGAGTGTGAATGCCAGAAGAAAAAAAGAGAAGAATGAGAATGAAGTATTAGAAGGAGGGAGTGTGAATGCCAGAAGTAAAAAAAAGAGAAGAATGAGAATGAAGAATTAGAAGGAGGGAGTGTGAATGCCTGAAGTAAAAAAAAGAGAAGAATGAAGATTTAGAAGTGGGGAGTGTGAATGCCAGAAGAAAAAAAAGAGAAGAATGAGAATGAAGTATTAGAAGGAGGGAGTGTGAATGCCTGAAGTAAAAAAAAAAGAGAAGAATGAGAATGAAGAATTAGAAGGAGGGAGTGTGAATGCCTGAAGTAAAAAAAAGAGAAGAATGAAGATTTAGAAGGGGGGAGTGTGAATGCCAGAAAAAAAAAAAAGAGAAGAATGAGAATGAAGTATTAGAAGGAGGGAGTGTGAATGCCAGAAGTAAAAAAAAAAGAGAAGAATGAGAATGAAGAATTAGAAGGAGGGAGTGTGAATGCCTGAAGTAAAAAAAAGAGAAGAATGAAGATTTAGAAGGAAGGAGTGTGAATGCCAGAAGTAAAAAAAAGAGAAGAATGAGAATGAAGAATTAGAAGGAGGGAGTGTGAATGCCTGAAGTAAAAAAAAGAGAAGAATGATGATTTAGAAGGGGGGAGTGTGAATGCCAGAAGTAAAAAAAAGAGAAGAATGAGAATGAAGAATTAGGAAGGGGGAGTGTGAATGCCAGAAGTAAAAAAAAGTGAAGAATGAATAATTAGAAGGGGGAGTGTGAATGCCAGAAGTAAAAAAAAGAGAAGAATGAGAATGAAGAATTAGAAAGGGGGAGTGTGAATTCCAGAAGTAAAAAAAAGAGAAGAATAAAGATTTACAAGGGGGGAGTGTGAATGCCTGAAGTAAAAAAAAGAGAAGAATGAAGATTTAGAAGGAGGGAGTGTGAATGCCAGAAGTAAAAAAAAGAGAAGAATGAGAATGAAGAATTAGAAAGGGGGAGTGTGACTGCCAGAAATAAAAAAAAGAGAAGAATGAAGATTTACAAGGGGGGAGTGTGAATGCCTGAAGTAAAAAAAAGAGAAGAATGAGAATGAAGATTTAGAAGGGGGGAGTGTGAATGCCTGAAGTAAAAAAAAGAGAAGAATGAAGATTTAGGAGGGGGGAGTGTGAATGCCAGAAGTAAAAAAAATAGAAGAATGAGAATGAAGATTTAGAATGAGGGAGTTTGAATGCCTGAAGTAAAAAAAAGAGAAGAATGAAGAATTAGAAGGAGGGAGTGTGAATGCCTCAAGTAAAAAAAAGTGAATAAAAAAAGCAAGATGCATGGGTATGTGACATATTGAAAGAGATGTTATGAATATGAAAATGAATGATAAATAACATATAGCTAGAAACTAAAGAAAAAGAAAGAGTTGAAAAAAAGAAAAAGATGTTGGCCAATGGAAAAACTTAGAGAAAAAATCAAATTAGAAAGAGAGAATAATGGAATAGCTTGAGAATATGTGAAAAATGACCAGAAAAGAAAGATATAAAAAGAATAAAATGCAAAAAAAAATCGAAGAAATCATAGGAAAAAGAAATATTGAAAGTGAAACAATATACGCAGAACAGATAGAAAGATATATGTAGAGGAAAAGAAAAGTGAGAAAGTATAAAGTCATTGGTTAGTGATTTGTATCTAACGCAATCAACTATAGTTGCTCCTATTGGTTGTAAAATAAAATTTACCCAACTGGAAGATTAATCTGGTCGTGTATGCATATTTCCAGCCCAATAGTCTGCTATGGATTACCATCCCCTTATTGACTGAACTGAGCTTTGGCAGATAGGTAATGTGTCATCATTACTAGTATTTGTCCTTCTTTCATGGTTTATATCATCCATCACGGATGTCATAGTTGGTGATCCTAATTTATTTCCCTCTTCAGACTGACACCACACTAACCATTTTGCAAGTTGGCTGCGATACATAGCAATTTTAGTGATGTCAATACATTACACTCACCCCTACTTCTAATAATTAATATTAATATTAATTCCTCCTCCCTGCTTATCATTGTACTCTACTGCATAACTTATCCATAATACATAAAGACTGAAACAATTTAGAGGCTGGTAAACTAAGCGAATTAATCTATGCACGCTCCTGTATCAATTTGCTCTCTACTTAACTGACTTTACTTGTGGTAATTAAATATAAGTTTCCCTGAATGAGAAATGTTAGAAAATTGAATGTCAAATATGATATTTGTCAATAAGCCAAATGTTCCTCTTATTTCCAATGCTTAAAATGAACCTTTTCTCTTTCAGAAAGTCGAGATCTCTCTTCATTATATATAACTTTACATTCATGAAAGTATGAGGACATAGTGGTGCCTTGGGGTAGGGTAATGGTTAATGAACTAGTCTGGTTGACAATTACTAATTAGTAATATGTTCAGTCCGCATTGGGTACCTTATACTTGAGGCTTTGTACTAAACTAAACTCAATTTAGTAAAAAGTAAGAGAAACTGTGGAAACATTGTTAGTGTTTCAGTATGAACCAGATTCTGAATCCAAATAAAATTTTGATTTAAACCATTGTAATATAGGCACTCTCTCAAGGCTGATAATGGAAGTAACAAATCTTTATAATTATAACTACCTAGGTGATAATTACAAGAAATTGTACACATTATTAAGTGAGTATGTATGAACCAGTTTTTGTATCTAAGTCAAGAGTGTCATTAGCATAAAACGGTTTGTCACCACTAGGTGTTGACCTTAGTGTCCACTTTTATTGATATTTTTTTAATCAATTCATTTCACCCCAAACAAGGCAATAAAGTTACTAAGATGCATGGGGTCACTCAGTGTGAGATATGAGAAACAGAAATCATTATTAAAGAAAGAGAACAATAAAAGAACAAGAATTATGAAGGCAGAACATTGACATAGCATTTTAATTTTTGAAGATCAAACTTGACTTCAAAGCAAGAAGCTGGAAGATAGAAGTGCAAGAGAAGAAATTGTTAGCATTGAACTTATGGTTACATCTAGCCTTTTCAATTGTAAAATAATGAAACCTTGCTACCAATTTTGTATTGCTCTTGGATTCATAAAGTTTCGGCATCATAGAGGAAAATTCATCAGGATAATTGCCATGAAAATATTTATAGAAAAGAGGCAGCAAAGCTTTGTTATGGTGCAGGGAAAGTGACTGAGCTGAGATGCCAGGTGATGCCAATGATAGTGTAGAATCTTCTTTGTATTTTATCAATAATCTCTAAATACATCGCAGAAACACAAGACCGGATGTGATAGGACTATTCAATAAATGGATGAATGGTAGACTTATAAATATGTTAAATACATTCAGGCATGAAAAATTGTCTGACACAATTGAATGAACTAATCTTTCTAGCAGAAAACCTAACAATTTTATTCAATATAACCATTCCATTTACAAACCAACACCCCCCCATATATATATATATATATATATATATATAACTTTGTGTTTATGTTATGATAAATGTCTGCCGGTAGTGTAATGGTCAGCACCTCAGAATGAAAAATTAGTGATCTGATTTTGGTTTCCTACTAAGTCCATTAGATTCACTTTTTCACAAATAAACTTGGCAACCAGTCTAGGAGAAGGACAACTCTGACTTCAAACCCAGTATTGGCCCTGGCTAGGTGTAATGTAAATTATATGTAATGGCAACTGAATTCCTTCAATAACACTTGCATTAATTCTTGATGGGGCATGGGCAGTCACACTGATGTCAGCTCAACTGACAATTGTTGGGGCTGGGCAGTTTTTGGCGCTGGCCCGGATGTATGTGCATGGGTTCCCCACATTAAACCCAACCTTGTGTCATATCATGTCTCAGTAGGGTGATGTGGTAAATGCCTACTTGCATTCATTTTTGTTAACTGACGATCTATTTCCTTTATTTCCAATGCAGGTTTACAGTAATATAATGTTGAAACACCAGTTCTCATTGATATTGAGCTAGCACCAAGTTGCAAATCATCCCGTCTGAGGTTTGGTGCATACTGACCTTGTTCAAATTGTTGGTCATGCCAATTATGCTTTCTGTTCCAGAAACTGTAACTAAGGTCTGCTCAGTATAGTTGCAGTATAAACCAAAGGTGGACTATATGAATGTCAAACAAACACAAATGTGTCTGAGTAGGTACTTGCAATAGAAAGTGGCTAACCACTCTAGCAGACAGGCATACTTGAATACAAGTGGTCTGCCATTACATTACCATGAGTGGGTGAGCTTTATTAAAAAAAAAAAAAAGAAATTTAGGTATATTATTGCAAAATCTGAGACATAATTTATTCCCACCATCTTGAAAATCATTGAATCAAGAATTTTGTTTATCAAACTTGTAACACCAAAATAGAAAAAAATGCATCTTTTAAAACCTGTAGCTGATTTAACTATATGAAGTCTGTAGCCTAATGATGAAAAAAAGCATTTATTTTACATAATAAATTTTTTTTCCTACATAATATTCTTTCTTTCTAGGGCACTTATTTTTTATGGTGTATATTAATCACATAGACCTAACATTTTATAGGGAAAATTTCAGATCAAAATTCAGCTTATAACATGCTTCTGTGGAACAATATTTCTGTTGCTACAAGTCTCCTCTACATTTGTGAGATTGTCCAGCTTTCCCTGAAATGTAGAAGGAATGATATTACATGAGAGGTTAGTACTCTTTTCCTTTTTTCTAACAAATTTTTCCTGTGTCTAGATACATTGCTTAGCTTGTGGAAGACAACTTTTGCAATTCCATGGTACTTTCAGATTTTGTTGTCACATCTTCTGACCTGTGTTAAAACACTTCCTAGATATTTAAATTTTCATACTTGCTTTTTTTTTGCATCTACAATTCATAGTCTGTTGTCTGAGTTGTTCCTCTTGCTACCCAAATTTAATAGAAAATACTGCATATAATGTTATATTTAGTAGACGTGTTATGTTTGAATAGACATTTCTGTTTTTTAAACATTAAGGTAGCAGAACCAGATGTAATGGAGATGCTAGAAGCTTTAGCTGATTTCAGCATTGACAAAATTACAAATATGTTAAATGACATATGCTACAGGCAAAAACTTTGAAGACAAACTGGATTTTTTTTAAAGAAACACTTTAAAATGAGATGTTTTGTATTATTTAAAGCAAAAGATAAAATTTCAGTAACTGCAGTGCATTTGCTTTTATTTTTCAGTCTTTCTCCAGTCTTTTCTTAATACCAAAAACTTCAAATTTGGATTCATATAACCACAATACATTTTACTAAATTATGAATATTTTGTATGAGAAATATTATATTTTGTTTTCCCCATTAACCTTTTAGTAGACTTTTTGGGATTATTAAAATTTAAGTTAACTGTTAATACAGGTTTTAAATGTTAACTCAGAACTGACTTATGTTGTAAACAAAATATTTGTAGCTGTCTCTGTTTGAAGAAAAAAAAGGTTGTGCCATTATAATAGTATTTCCATAGTTTTTATTTATTTATTTTCTATTCATTTATAATTTTTTTTTAATTTCGAAGTAACTTGCACAGAATGCTAAGTCAAAGCAACTAAGCATTGTGGTGAGGACACAATTTGAAAGACAGAATTTGAAGATTTCAAGACATGGAGTGCAATATTCATACAATGGCAGTTAGAAACTAGCACAACTGTTGGCAGAAAAAAGAGCTGGAGCACCAAAAATGGCAACTGTTGCTGAGGATAAACACTTGATTATTGAGAGCAAAAGAAACAGAAGGAAAACTGCTCCAGAGTTGACAGCTGAACTTAATTCCTGTCTGAAAGCAAACAGTATCACTCTCAACTGTGACTTAGATCAACGCATACCCATCAAGGAGTGCATAGCCATCAAGGGGTGCACTGATATCAAGAAACATTGCAGAATCTGAATCAGCAGAAAAGTCTGTTATGGGCAAAAAACATGAGAACTGGACACTGAAGAGTGGCAAAATGTATTGTAGAGTCCAGATTGGTGGTAAGGAGAGATTGTATGTAAGAAGAAAGCCAAGATATACTGAATGATGAATGTTTGTCTCCAACAATTTAACATAGTGGTGGGTCTGTTATGGTGTGGGGGTGAGAGCTGGAGATTTGATTTAGATAATGAATAATTTGAAAAGAAAATTCACCTTTCAACAAAACAATGACCTAAAATACACTTCTAAATTATGTAAAAATTACCTACTCAGAACATAGAACAAAATTTTAGAAACTATGACTTAGCTGCTCTCTCTCTCTCTCTCTCTCATTGAATTAGTATGGGGTAAATTGGTAAGGAGAGTTTGAAGAGAATACCCAAAGTGTGAGAGTGAGCTTTTTCAGTCCTTGAAGAATGCTTGGGAAGGTCTGCCACCTACTTTTTGTTAAAATCTTTTCGAAAGAATACCAAGAATTTGTAAAGTGGTAATTAATACAAGTGGTGGTTTTATTTATAAAAACAAAATATGAAGCTGCTGTACGACAATTTTTTTATAGTTAATTTCTTTGTAGAAACAAAAGCAAATACACTGTAGTTACTGAAATGTTATCTGGCACTTAACTAAATACAAAAAAAATCTTATTTTAAGGTGTTTTTTAAAGAAATTCAGGGTGGCCCCAATTTTTTTGCCTGCAATGT